TTCCTGCTGCTTATTATTATTTTTAAAATTATTATTATTATTTTACTATTCACAGTCTGACTATCACACATTCTACTGTCATGCAGGGGGAAAGCCCTGAACTAGGAGCTGTGAGGCCTGGTTTCTAGTGCAGGTTCTCTTCCTTCCTGACTGTTGTGTGACCTTGGGCAAGTTAGTGCCCTGTTCTAGGTCTTGATTTCCCCATCTGCATAATGTCTACATTCTGGGATCATAGACCTTCCTAAGTGAGGGGGAATGGAGGTGGCTGCTATATTATAATTCATAAAGACAGTCGGAGATACAGAAACAGCAGCGACTGAGCTGTCAGGGGCATGGCTACGGCTATTAGAGTGCTGGTGAATAGGCGTAGGATGAACATTTTCTCAAATTAGGCTCTGCCCCTCCACCTCCTTTCTTATGTCTTTCCATCACCCTTTGCAGCTTACGTGACGTATTTTATATAGACGTTTGTTGCCCCATCCCCTATCTGTTAGCCCATGAGGACGTGGACTGGACCGGTTTATTCATTTCTGTGACCCCAGTGACAAGCATGGGGCCAGGGGTGCGGTGGGCACTCTGTAAACATTGTTGAAAGGGAACAGTTCTGGGTTTCCTGCCCATTGGACTCTGATCTGGGCTGTGGGAGGAACTGCAGGAGTATGTGTGTGCATCTGTGCATGTGTGCACGCGTGTTGGGGAGGGGGTGGCCTCGGGAATGTCTTTCCAGCTGAGACCAGCCCTCCTTTCCCCTCAGCATGGAGGTGGGCGTGTGTGTGGAGGCCTACCGCCAGGAGGCCGAGACCCAGCGGCGGCACATCAACAGCGCCTTCATGACCTTTGTGGTCCTGGATGCAGATAACCAGCCTCAGATGCTGCCCTGGATTCGGCCCCAGCCTGGGGTGAGTGCCCCACTACCAGCCCCCCTCCCTCTCTGCCCAGGGTGATAGGACTGGGGAGTGGACCCAGCTCTGTCCTTCTGCTGGGACATAGCCAGCCCCAAACGCCCTGGTATAACACGCCCCCGGGGATGCTCCTTGTGCAAGGAAGGCACCCTGTGCTTCCTGGAAGAACTCAGACCACGTGCTGTGTGTTAACAGGTATTCATGAGCCTGCAGAGATGTAAGAGCACTGGCTTTGGGGTCAGAGGTGGGTTGGAACCCCACCTTGGCCACGTTCTAGCGGGTGCCCTCTGCAAGCTTTCACTCCCCATCTGTAAAGAGAGTGTATCTGCAGTTCCTGCCTCGCAGGGCTGTTGGGGAGATACTGACCTTGCTCCGGGCTGAGTATGTGGCGACTGCTCTGACCATGGTGACAGGGGAGCAAAAAGCATAGAAATGAGAGTCAGGGACCTGGGTTCAAGGCTGGCTCTAAACAATGTTCCCTTGTGCCTCCTTTGGCCCCGGCTCGGGCTTGCTTCTGGGGGGCCAGGGAGTGACCTTGGAGAGGTTGCCCCTTCTCTCCAGGAAGGTCACCCACCCAGCCCGCCCACCTTACAAGACTGAGCATGGTCTGTGAAGACCCCCGCTCCAGAGCTGGGCGTTGGGCAGTCAGGATGGGTGGTGACCGGAGGAGCAGGGAGCCTGGCAGGCGGTGGGACAGTAGACAGTCCACGAGGCCCTTTCAGGCTTTTGCCACTTAATGTTCACGAGTCGGGAGACGTTAGGTGTAGTGGTTCAGAGGGTGGGCTCTGGGTTCAGGCCATCTGGGTTCTGTTCCTGTCCCCACTCCTTAGCCCTGTGACCTTGGCTGAGCCACTTAGCCTTTCCGTGACTCAGTTTCCTCCTCTGTAAAATGGGGATAGTACTGGGAGTTCCCTGGTGGCCTAGTGGTTAGGATTCTGGGCTTTCACTGCCGTGGCCCGGGTTCAGTCCCTGGTGGGGGAACTGAGATCCCGCAAGCCGCACGGTGCAGGCAATTAAAATAATGAAATGAAATGAAATGAAATGAAATAATTGGGGATAGTACTAGTGCCAACCTCAGAGGGTTGTCATAATGCTTAGATGCAGTTTTGCATGGAAAACACTTCAGAAGCATGCCTGCCCATAGCAAGTGCTCAGTAAATGTGGGTTCTTAGCGTTGTAAGTGCCCTTTGGGGATCCCCTTTTACTGAGGAGGAAGCAGGTACAGTGAGGGCAGGTGGTGTTCCCAAAGTCACTCAGGGAGCCTCAGGGGAAGCTGGGGCTGGAGCTCAGTGGTGGGGCACTGTCCTGTGCAGGCTGCCCCAGTGAGATCTGAACTTCTCTTTAGGGCTGCAAGGAGGGTCTCCTTGGGCCCTTTGGGGAAGGGGGCAGGCAGTAATGGGGGTGGGGCGAGCTGTTTGTCACTCCTGCACCACAGTCTGTCTCCTCTCCCCAGGATGGCGAGCGGCGGTACCGAGAGGCCAGTGCCAGGAAGAAGATCCGCCTGGACAGGAAAGTGGGGGCCGGGTGGTGGAGTGGACACGGCTCTAGGGCTTCCCTGTCTGCTCCCTGGTCCTGGGAACTTGTGTTTCTTCGGTGTTTCCCCTGGGCTGGGCCTTTACATCCAGGCAGCCTCTGGTCTTGGCCTCATGACACAGTGGTCTTACTGGCCCCTTGTACAGATGAGGACAGAGGGATTAGGTAGCCACGGGCACTCAGACAGGAATGATGGGCAGAATGAGAATTTGAACCTGGCCAGGTGTGACCAATTTTACTTCTTGTGTTCCTCCCATTGACTCTGATGCCCGTTTGGCAGATGAAGAAAGAAAGGCTCTGAGAGGAGATGCAATTGCTTAAGAAGCAAATCCAGGTGTGAATGACTCTGCCGTGAAAGCGCTTTACAAACTGGAAAGGGCTGTCAACGCACCAGGATTCACCATCTGATGTTAATAAGAAAAATGTGCATATATGGAGGGTTTACCATATGCCAAGCACTGTTCTCCCTGTGATGACCCCATGAGGAGGCAGGTGTGACCACTGATCCCATTTTACAGCTGAGGACACTGAGGCATAAGGGTGAAGTCGCTTTAGCCAGAGTGAAGTCACTCAGCAAGGGTGTTGGGGGTCTGCACCTTTCCCCCAGCCCGTCCCCGCCTCTGAGTGTGTATGTCCTCAGCTGCTGTTTTCTGTGTGCCCATCCAGACTCCCTAGCCAGACAGGAGTCTCTCCCACGCCGCTGGGCTGAGCACAGGGCCTGGCACACAGCAAGCCAGCAGTGAAGTCTGTGGAAAGAGATGGGCTCCCAAGGGAACAAGGTTGTTGTTCTCCCTCTCTCCCAGGAAGTACATCGTGTCCTGTAAGCAGGCGGAGATGCCCCTCTCTGTCCCCTGGGACCCTAGCAACCAGGTAAGGCCTTCTGCTCTGAGCGGCCCGTTCTCAGGCCTGTTGGGATCCCCGATCCTCCCCTCTTGTGAGAGGGTTTAGAGGTAGGCCCAGAGGGGACGGGATACTGCTGCCGCAAGACTGGCACAGGTAGCCCAGGGCTTTCCTGTGTCCCCTTGCTTGGCAGGAGGGAGCTGGGGCCCCAAGAGGAGGAGGAGTCTGCCAAGCCCCAGCCTCCTTTCCCAAAGCCAAGGGCTCCTTCCTTCACGTCCAGTTTCCTCTCCCCACCCCAGCGCAGCCCGGCACGGAGCCCCCGAGGAAGGTGGAAGTTGAGGCTTCTCTGTGTGCTCTGTCCAGGTGTACCTGAGCTACAACAACGTCTCCTCCCTGAAGATGCTCGTGGCCAGGGACAACTGGGTGCTGTCCTCAGAGATCAGCCAGGTAGCTGACCCCACCCTCCCAGCTTTCCTTCCTCCTCGGAGCCACCAGCGGTGGCTGACTGTGAGACACAAAAACCCTCTCAAAGCACTCCAGTCAAAGGGAGATTCCTTAAAAGGAGCTGGATGAGGTCATGAAACCAGCCCATTTACAGAAGCAAACCTGCCCTGCCAGGACCTGGAGTGGGGGTCCCCCACTCCAGATCCTCTCCTGCCCACCCACCTTCTTGCTTCCCATTTCATCCTCCCCCGCTGCGTCCTCCCTCTCTCTGCTCCTTCTACAGTGAGGGTCTGCTGGGATGGGGGCCTGGGGCAAGGGCGGGCTGAGGGAGGACTTGAGCTCTGCCACTTTTGCCTGTGACTTTAGGGGGCTGGATGGCACCTGGCTCTGAGGATTCATTCTGTTGTTGTGTTGGCCCCTGCTTCTTTCTCTCCTTTTAACAAAATTTTTCCACATTAAAAAAAATTGAGGTATAATTTACATGTAGTAAAATTTCCCCTTTTTACTGTATAATTCTACTAGTTTGGAAAACACATAAAGTTACAGAATCACTACCATAATCAAGATACAGAACATTTCCATAATCCCCCCAGTTTCTCTCATTCTCCATTGTGGTCAAGCCTCTTCCCATCCCCAGCCCCAGGAAACCACGGATCAGTTTTCTGTCCCTTTAGTTTTGTCTTATTTTGAGAATGTCCAATACGGGGAGTCATATAGTATATAACCTTTCAATCTGACTTCTTTCTCTTGGCACAAGTCATTCACTCGTGTTGAGTGCTTGTTTGAGTTTGTTCCATTTCGTAGTGAGTACCATTCCATCCTGTGCTTATGCATGCAGTCACTGCTCCTTCAGACACCTTCCTATCCACTTGTGCTGAATCTCCCATTTTCATGGGAATGTGACCAAGGCTCAGAGAGGTTGAGTCGCTTGTTCACAGTCACACAGCAATCAGCGGTCCCCAGCATAGGCTGAGGAGGAGGCGTGGGAACGAGGCTGCCCTCTGGCCCATGCAGGTCCGCCTGTACACTCTAGAGGAGGACAAGTTCCTCTCCTTCCACATGGAGATGCTGGTGCACGTGGACGCTGCCCAGGCCTTCCTGCTGCTCTCAGACCTCCGTCGGAGGCCCGAATGGGACAAGCACTACCGGTGAGGGCAGCGGGGTGGGGTGCGGAGGTGGGCTCTCAGGTGTCTCCTCCTGAGCCGTCCCCCCACTGTGCTCAGCCCCTGCCGACCTTTAGCAGGGAGGATGGGGGTGGGGCACTTGGTTATGTGTTAGGTGAGCATCAGAGTCAAGGGTAGTCTGAGCCCTCAGGGAAGAGAGTGAGCCTGGAACTGGAGTCGGGGGCCTGGGTTTAAGTCTTGTTCCTGGCCTAACTAACTGTGACCATGGCAAGTCATGTCTTTTCTGGGCCTCAGTTTCCCTCCTCTTAAAATGGGTACTTGAGGTGTGGGTTGTAGATTTGCACCCAGGGATAGATCAGTGATTTTCAAAGCGTGTTCTGTGGAGTTCTGCCTTCCCAGAGGGGGCTCAGGGACTGCTTGGGGTGGTGGTTGGAAGTGAAGGGGCTGGGTGGGAACCCCTCCCAGACTCATGGTAACTCAGAGAATGGCCAATTTGCTGAATTTACTGAGTTTGCCAGTTCTTCATATGGATATGTACAGGAATGTACAGGAATGTTATTTTTTAATGTAGTGAGTTACTGAATATAAATGTTATTCCTATAAATGCATTTGTTCCCCAAATTTGTTGACTCTCCATGTAAGTTTTTGCTTAGGAAAATAGCCAAAATTTCAGTGTTTAATATGGGAATGTTAAAGTTGAAACTGGTATTTTTTCAAATCCCTTTCAAGTCATTTTCTGTTATGCCAACACCCTCCTTTGGGGGTTCTTTGATCATTTCTCCAATGGCTTATTAAGAGGAGCCTATATTCCTGAGTGTATCCATAAGGAGGATCTGTGTATTTGGAAATTCAGTAAGCAGGTCATTTGGTGAGTTGATATTTGACAAATTGGCCTTCCCCTACCTTTCCCCATCTCTCTTCACCAAAGCAGGCCTGCTTGTAGCTAGCTGTTCACACACAGGCTTTCTGCATAAGGTTTCTTTGCAAAAAGGGCTGAGTTGCTTTAAAAAGCCCTGGTCTAGGTTGGCTCCAGGCCTGCTGGCCATGCCATCCTGGAAGCCTGAGAGGTGATTTGGTGGTGGATGTTGGGGAGAAGGGGTTGGGCATGTGGTAGGAAGGCTTCTTGGAGGAGGCGGGCTGGTGTGGGCCTTGAAGGCCCAATCAGATCTTGATGCTTGATGGGATTTGGGGGTGTGTCCTGAGGGGAAGGGAGGCCCTAGCAGCTTTCCTCCACCCTGCCCACAGCTGCCTCGTTCCTGAGGCAGCTTCCAGGGTGGGTGGGAGAGCAGGGAAAAGGTGGCGGGTCTGGACGTGGTTGTGTGTCTCTCTGCATGGATGTCCTTGTGTGTGTGCGTGTGTTGGTGTAAGCCTACATGTGTCTACCTGGGCACATGCGTGCAGTGTGCCTGGGCCTGAGGGGCATAGCTCTGGGGCCCAACAGCCCAAGCACATCCCACACCTGCTTCCTTATTAGCTCTGTGGCCGGAGGTGAGTTATTTCTCTGAGTCTCAGCCCCCTCATCTATAAAATGGGGACACTAAGAGTACCAACTGCATGGGCTGATGTGGGGTTAAGTGAGATAGTACCCATAATGCTCTTAGAACAGTGTCTGGCACACAGTGGGCACTCACTAAATATTCAGTACAACTCCTAAATAATCACACATCTGTGTAGGGTATGTGCATCTGCACATAGACAGACACCCATAGTTTTGTGTGTGCATCGGTGGGTGTCTATCTATGTATCTGTGCACATGTGTGCCCACGGGTGTGTGTGTTCATTTGCTTGTGTGTGTGTCTGTGTGCCCGTGTGTGTGTTTATCTTGACAGCCTTTTCTGCCCTCCTGTGGTCCCTGCTGAGCAGTGTTGGGGGTGAAATATCCCCCAAGCATCTGCTCAGGGCATCTGAAGCACGGGAGGGCCTGGGTCAGACCTGCTCTCACACGAGCAGCTGATGTGACGCCCGTGGGTTTTGTACAGGAGCGTGGAGCTAGTGCAGCAGGTGGACGAGGATGATGCCATCTACCACATCATCAGCCCTGCCCTCGGTGGTGACCCCAAGCCCCAGGATTTTGTGATCCTGGCCTCTCGGCGGAAGCCTTGTGACAACAGGTGCGTGCCTGCCTTCTGGGGTGGGAGGTGGGCAGGGCTCATCTTCCTGCCCAGGGAGGGGACATCAGCCTAGAGTCAGCCCTCTGCTTCCTACTGGCCGCAGTGGTCTTAATGTGGGTAGAATGGAGGACATGGGGATGCCTGGCCCCTCTAGTCACTCATGCTCTAGAGCGGGGTGGTCTCTGTCTCTGGGGTAGTGAGGGCACCTTGTCCCAGGCCACAGACAGGCCAGTTCTCACATGGCCGACTCCTTGGCCTCCAGCCTCTGAAGGCCCTGTGTTGGCTGAAGGGTGGTGAGGCTGTCAGCTGTGCCATGGTGGGGATGCCAGAGAGACGGGATCATTTCTGCTAGAGACAGGCAAAAAGATGAGGCACAAAAATCCCAAAGCGCGACACTGCTTCCTGGGTGTCTGCAGTGGAGGGGCTTTTCCAGAAAGTCCACAGTGCAGTCACGCTGGCTCCTGGTGAGTTCAGAGGTGCTAACCCACAGGCATCTCCTCTTTCCAGCTTGGCCCAGAGCCAGGCTCTGTGTGCCTCAGACTCTGGGTCAGTGCCAGAGGAGGGCTCTGGAACCAGGCCCTCACCCTCTCCTGTGTCCCCTCCACACCCTTCCTCCGTTCCAGGGACCCCTATGTCATTGCGATGAGGTCAGTTACGCTGCCCACGCACCTTGAGACCTCGGAGTACAGGCGTGGGGAGACCATCTGCTCAGGCTTCTGCTTCTGGCACGAGGGGGACCAGTTGACCAAGGTGAGGCTGGGTGTCTCCTTTCCCCCTCTCACCCAGATTCACCCCAAAGCCACACTTGTGTCCAGAACTCAGCACTGTCCAGCTCAGACAGTTCCAGACTCAGGCTCCCCTGCCTGCCAGCAGACTCTCTCTTCCAGCTCAGGGGAGCCTAGGAGTGTCAGGGGCTGAAAATGAGCCTTCATTAAGACCTAATCTGTGCTAAGTCCGAGGCCACTGCAGGGTCTCGGAAAAAGCACTGGACACAGAGGGCAGAAGCCCTGGGTTCTGATCTAAAATTCTATCTCCTCATTTACTTATTGTCTAGGAAGGCTTTATATGGCTCTCAGGGCCCACAGAACTCAGCAGGGCAGTCAGTGTTAACTAAAGCGTAGGGGAGAAGGCTGAGAGTGGCTGGGCTGGGGATGCCCATTGCCCCTTCCTCAGCTCACAGTGGCTCTGAGACTCCTCCCAGGTAGGGATTTGGACAGTGCTAGCTAACTTAACACATCTAAACTGACGAGCTCCTCAGGGCAATCCTTGGGCTTATTCTAACTTGCGGATGGCCCTAGAGCACCTTCACTTAAAAGGGATTCCGTGCTGGGCTCTGGAGACCCAGCCCCGGTCCTCCAGGGCCTCCCGGCTGACAGGGGAGACTCATGATGACAGTAGTGTGTGGTGACAGAGGGAAGCCAGGGTTGTCAGCACCCGGGGTGGGGGTGAGGGGTCGGGGGGAGACCAGCTGGAGGAGGTCATACCCGCCAGCCACGCAGTCTTCTAAGGCCCCAGGTGCTGGCTGGTATTTGCTGCCTTCCTAGCAGGCGACAAGGCTGCCTCCCGCCCGCCTCATGTCCACTCAGCTCCCACTCCTCCCACTGCCCAGCCTCCCTGAGTGTGGCTTCCCATCCTGCAGGTGTCCTACTATAACCAGGCCACCCCAGGCTTTCTCAAGTACGTGACCACCAATGTGACTGGCCTCTCCTCTGAGTTCTACACCACCTTCAAGGCTTGTGAGCAGTTCCTCTTGGACAACCGGAACGATCTGGCCCCCAGCCTCCAGACCCTCTAGGCATCTTCAGTGGCCACCTCACGCCCAACTCCCACTCCATCCTGCCCTGAGGACACACACGCAGTGCACTGAGGAAGGCAGAGGCATTTATTCCTCCTGCCACCCCCGTGGGAAGCCTGGACCCAGGGCTCCACCAGCCCAGCACCCCTGGGTGGTCACTTTCTGCCAACATCGGCCAGCAAGTCTTGGTAGGAACTCTGGGGTAGCCTGTAGTAGACTCGGGTCCTCTCCACGGCCCTGGCTGCCAGCAGCACTGCCCGCACAGATGCATAGCTGCCCCAGCCAGGGCTGTGTTCCACTGTGACAGTGGCCCGGGGGGAGGCTGCCAACAGCCTGGCCACGACTCCAGCCGTGCTCTGGCCCAGCGGCCTAGCCAGAAGCTGGAAGGACACGGGTTGCCAGAGGCCCTGGCACAGCTCCAGCATATCTGTGAGCAGCTGTTCCCTGTAGCCACTGCTCAGCACTTCCTCGGGCCAGCCTGGTGCCACTGTCACATGGGGGAAAACCTCGGCCACAGCTGTAAGCAGCTCCCTGCCAGTCACGTAGCCAGGGACCACAAAACTCCCGTGGGAGATTGTGGCCCCGACCCACACAGGCCTAGGCAGGTGGCCAAGGGTGGAGAGGGTGGCCAGTGTGGCCAGGGATGGCCGGAGGGCCGTGGGCTCTGCTATGTGCACATGGATGCCCCAGCGTCCGGCGCGCGTGGCCAGCTGCAGCAGGCAGAACTCCAGTGTCAGAACACGGCCATCTGGGGCACGTACGATGGGCACGGGGTCCCCAGCTGCAGGGTCCAGGAGGCCAGCTTTCAGCAGG